CCATCCCCCTCCCCAGCCCTGTCCCCATCCATGTCCCCATCCCTGTCCCCATCCCTGTCCCCATCCCCATCCATGTCCCCATCCCTGTCCCCCTCTCTGTCCCCATCCCCGTCCCCATCCCTGTCCCCATCCCTGTCCCCATCCCTGTCCCCCTCTCTGTCCCCATCCCCATCCCTGTCCCCATCCCCGTCCCCATCCCCGTCCCCATCCCTGTCCCCGGTGCTGCTGCGCCCCCAGCGAGGCAGTTGGGGGGGGTTAAATGGGGGTGGGGGGAGGCAGAGCCCTCGGCACCCCCGGGGGTGGGGGCGGGCTCTGGGGGAGCGCCGGGGCACGAGCTGGGGGGGTCTGTGCCCCCTCCAGCGCTCCGTGGGTACCACAGCGGGCGCTTGGCAACGCGGCATCCCCCGGCTTCCCATTGCCATGGCAACCGCGCGGGAGACGGCAGAGTGGGGGGGCACAGGGATGTGGGGGCTCGGACGGGCAGGGGGCGGCAATGGAACCCCTCCCCAAGTGACGTCACCGGACACCCCCGAGTGGGTTGGACGCTTTGGGGGGTGGAGACCCAAACTCTGCACGGCCCCCCCTGCAGGGCCCCCCTCAGGGGACCCCCTCCAGCAACAAGTTCCCCCCGTTAGGCCCCCGCAGCATCAGAGCCCCCCACGCACGGGTTCCCCTCCCCCAGCAGCCCCTCCAGTCCCTCCAGCAGGGCCCCCCCTCCCAGCAGGGCCACCCATCCCCCCGGCAGACACAGGGAGGAAGTGGCCCCATTTCCCACAGCGCAGGAGCCGGAAACCGCCCCAGGGCGGAAATGGGGGGGCCCCATCCCCAACCCGCAGCAGGTCCTGCACCCCCCGTGCCCCTCAGATGGGTCCCCATGGGGGGCTGGCACTGCCAAGCCCCCACTGCAGCACCTGGGCGGGATCAGGCCTCAGCTCCTGAGGGGCCACAGACGAGGCCCTGCTGGAAGGAGGGGACAGGGACCCCCTGAGCTGGGACAGGGCCCCCACTGTGGCTGTGGGTACCAGCAGAGGCCAGTGCTGCTGTGGGGCTGGAGGGGACACCAGTGTCACATCCACCTATCCATCCATCCATCCATCCATCCATCCATCCATCCATCCATCATCCATCATCCATCCATCCATCATCCATCCATCATCCATCCATCCATCCATCCATCATCCATCCATCCATCATCCATCCATCATCCATCCATCCATCATCCATCCATCCATCCATCCATCGCCTCTCCAACCCTCTGTCCTTTGTCATCCATCCATCTGCCCATGTGTCTGTCCATCGCCACACCCTCCTGTCTGTCCATCCCTTCAGCCACCACCTGTCCATCCATCCACCTGTCCCCTGTCCGTGCATCCATCCATCCAGCCAGCAGCTGTTCATCTGCATGTCTGTCCATCCCTCCAGCCAGCCCACTGTCCATCTGTCCATCCATCCATCCATCCATCCATCCATCCATCCATCCATCCATCCATCCATCCCTTGTCCACCCCCTCACTCCACTCGGAGGATGTCCATCCACCTGTCCATCTGTCCATCCACTGTCCATCCTCTGTCTGTGCCCACTGTGTCCCCTCAGTGTCCCCCCCGTGCCACCCGCTGTCCCCCAGCCCCCGTGCCCCGCCCCCCCCCGGTACCTCGGAGGGCCCTGAGGGCGCTGCCCAGGCTCCCGCGCAGCCGGGGCTCGGGCACGGTCTCCACGAGCCGCACCAGCCGGTTCAGGTGGCTCTTGGCCCCCTCGTGCCGGGCCACCTCGGCCCGGATGGCGGCCAGAACCTCGCGGCGCTCCCGGGGGGCCCCCATGGCTTCCCCCGGCCCCGGGACCCCGCTCGGCCCCCGCTGCCCCGCTCGCTTCCTGCCGGAGCTGCAGCGTCACCCGCGGGGACACGTCACGGGAACGGCGGGGCCCGGCCCCAGCGCGCGTGGGGACACGTTGGGACACACCGGGACACGCCGGGACACGCGGGGACACGCGGGGACACGGGGCACAGCCCGGCACACCCAACGCGCCACGGCAGGGATGGGCAGGGGACGGTGACACGAGGGACACGCGGGGACAGGGAGCCGGGGGGGGGGGACACAGGTGAGCGCTGTGGGGGGCACAGAGGGGACACGGCTGGGGACACACCGGGGTGCTCAGGTGGGCGATCATGGGGGGCTCAGGCAGACGTGCTGGGGACACGGGTGCGGTGACATGGACACACCAATGACATGAGAGGGACGTGCACAGACACATGGACACGCTACAGACACGTGCAGGGACACACGGACAGGTTAAGGACACATGCAGGGACACACAGACATGCTAAGGATACACGGACACACTACAGACACGTGCACGGACACATGGACACGCTAAGGACATGTCAGTGACACACGGACATGCTAAGGACACATGGACACGCTCAGGACACATCAGTGACACACAGACATGCTAAGGATACACGGACACACTACAGACACGTGCACGGACACATGGACACGCTAAGGACACATGGACACGCTAAGGACACATGGACACGCTAAGGACATGTCAGTGACACACGGACACGCTAAGGACACATGGACACGCTAAGGACATGTCAGTGACACACGGACATGCTAAGGACACATGGACACGCTAAGGACACATCAGTGACACACGGACATGCTAAGGACACGTGCCCGGACACACGGACACGCTAAGGACACATGGACACGCTAAGGACATGTCAGTGACACACGGACATGCTAAGGACACGTGCCCGGACACACGGACACGCTAAGGACACATGGACACGCTAAGGACATGTCAGTGACACACGGACATGCTAAGGACATGTGCCCGGACACACGGACACGCTAAGGACACATGTCCCATCCCATGCACGCACAGCCCACCCCCACACGCACGTGTCCCCCCAGGTGTCCCCGTGTCCCCCCAGGGAGGGGATGGAGCTGCCAAGGGCCTTGGAGATGTCCCCGTGTCCCCCCCCAGCCATGGACTCCTGGCCCCCCCACCTCGAGTGCCCACAGGGGGTCCCAGAACCTGGGGGTGGGGTCCCAGTGCCCGGGATGGTGCCAACACCTGCAGAGGGTCCCAGCACTCATCGGGGGTCCCAGCACCCCCAGGGGGTCCCAACATCCACTGGGGGGGTCCCAACATCCACTGGAGGGTCTCAGCACTCATCGGGGGTCCCAGCACCCCCAGGGGGTCCCAACATCCACTGGGGGGGTCCCAACATCCACTGGGGGGTCCCAGCACTCATCGGGGGTCCCAGCACCTGTGTCCCCCTCCCCTGAGCCCTCCCAGGCAGAGGCGGGAATGGGGGTCCCGTGGGGGGTTTATTGAGGGGTGAGGGGGGATCACGGGGGGGATCACGGGGGGATCACGGGGGGGTCACGGGGGGATCACGGGGGGATCA